ATCTGCTGGAGTTGTTGTTGCGGACGGTCTTGGCGTTGCCGAAGGCCTCCAGCAGAGGGTTGGACTGCAGGATGATGTCTTTAACATGCTGCACACACAGACACGTGGTCATCAGCAGCAGTAACCATGGTAACAGAAGTAATAACTGTAGTAATAACAGACTGGTACTGATCCAGTGAATCAGGACCCATAATTACCAGTACCATCAGCAGTACTCCGTGTACTCTATGTACTCTGTGTACTGACCTGTACTTTGTCTCCTCCTCCGGACACTTTGGACACGTAGCTCATGATGTATTTGGCTGCGACTGTTTTTCCAGCTCCGCTCTCACCACTGAGACGACAAAGATTCAAACAACAAAGATTCAAACAACAAAGACTCAAACAACAAAGACTCAAAGAGAATTAAAAGAAGGAAGAAGTAAATATTATACAGTATAATTCACTTTTCTTAATGATCAAACGGCAGTAAATGTAAACACACTTCTCTTTAAAGACTCATGTTTATTTATCGTGTCTCACACCTGTCTGCTGGACCTGGTAAATTCACAGGTAAACAGTTTAAACCCCGCCTACCTGATGATGACACACTGGTTCTCGCTGTCAATCATCATGTTCCTGTACATGTTGTCAGCCAGCGCGTAGATGTGAGGGGGGTTCTCATACTGGGCCTGTGGAGGGAGGGGGGTGTTAATGTTGTGTTAGCGTGTGTTAATGTGTTAATGTTGTGTGTTAACGTTGTGTTAACGTGTGTTAATGTGTTAATGTTGTGTGTTAACGTTGTGTTAATGTTGTGTATTAACGTTGTGTTAATGTTGTGCGTCTCTCTTACCGCCCCCTGGTACAGCTCCACCTCTCTCTCTGTGAAATATGGAAGCTGTTTAAACGGATTCACAGAGATCAGAACTGCACCGATGTAAGTCTGACAGACGCCGGTCAAGGAAACAACAAGACTCAGAACCAGAACCAGCAGGACTTGAGCAACTAGGACCAGGACTATATTAAAGCTGAAAACCCTACTTTAAGTTTGGGTCTGAGGTGAATGAACTCCATGAACTGTGAGTCCAGAACCAGGTCTCTGACTGACCCCCCTCATCATTATGTGGGTCTAGAACCAGGTCTGAGTTTAGAACCAGGTCTGAGTCTAGAACCAGGTCTGAGTCTAGAACCAGGTCTGAGTTTAGAACCAGGTCTGAGTCTAGAACCAGGTCTGAGTCTAGAACCAGGTCTGAGTCTAGAACCAGGTCTGAGTCTAGAACCAGGTCTGTGACGGACCCCCCTCATTCTGTGAGAGGATACAGGAGGATACAAAGATGTAGTCGTCCATGTATCTCTTCTTCAGGTTGTCTGTGATGGCGTCCTCGCTGATCTTGGACAGCAGCACCATGTCGTCCACGCCGCTCACCTTCACATTCTGAGCCTGCCAATGGTATCGCTCCTTACTGCCCTAGGGGAGGAGAAGGGGGAGGAGGAGGGGGGACAGAGTCAGACCTGGTCTAACAGTTACAGTCAGTGTTTGTTCAGCAGGAGGAAGAAACAGCTGGAGGTCAACACTTCACTGTGTGTGTGTGTGTGTGTGTGTTTTATCAGATGTGGTGTTTGGTTGGACTGCTGCCCCCCCCCTCCTGAATTTCCAGCATTCCTCTGTCTTGTGGGATCATGTTGAGGATGAGTGAGTGGCGACGCCCAGACACGTTCCCCTTGACACACCAAGCTGCAGGACGCTGCACGCCACAGGGTGGGGGTGTGTGTGTGTGTGTGTGTGTGTGTGTGCTGCAGACTTTTTTTACTCAGAAGAAACAGGAACATTCACAGTTTGAAGTTGCAGATGATCAATAAATAATGAATCTATTAACTGATCAACACAAAACAAACAGCTGATTACTGATCGATCGTGTGTGGGGGAGGGGCGACCTCTGCTTTTCTCTTATGTGACGTTAAACTGAAGACGGGACGACACCACCGGCAACAGGCGACCAAGAAAACAGTCAGACAGGAGGACGCCCCACCTCTTCAGGCCCCTGGAGTAACAGGGTGTAGTGTGGCCCCTGTGGCCCCCCCACTCCAGAAGATTAAATAAACACAGCTTCATTAAGAGGATGCAGCAGGTGAAGCGCAGGACACACTGACCTGCAGTCAGCCTGGAGGTTGTGGGGCCCCTGGTGATCTGGGGCCCCCCTGTGTAACACCCCAACCTGTGCTCAGGTGTGAACAGTGTTTCTACACAGACTGATGATTTAAAATTTCAATTATTCATCACTTTCCGTACTCCCCTCTCAGGGCGCCGGGGCCACAGGATGAACATCTGACAGAGGTCAAACTGGCGTGTTTCCATGGTAACAGGAGGGAAAATGTCTGTTTTAAAAAAATCCAGCTGTGTCTGATTTATTTATTTTATTCAGAATTTTTTCATTCATTCAATTATATATTTTTCTATTTTTTAATTCACACATTTCATTTAGTTTTTATTTTATATTTGATGAATTTATTTCTAATAATTTATCAGCTGATTCTTTCTTTTCTACAGGAACAAGAATTTTATCTTTTATTGGTTTTTCCTCAGACTTTTTTTCTTGTTTCTGATTAAAAACTTTGTGATTAAATTTAAACAAACAGCAGCACAGATCTGATCCAGGACCAGGACCAGGACCAGGACCAGGACCAGGATCAGGACCAGGATCAGGACCAGGATCAGGATCAGTTTTTAGTTGGAAAGTTTGAAGTCAGACTGAGTGAACTCACCATGTCTGCTCCTCTCGCCCTGACTTCCTGCTTCAGGGAAATGTTGAGAAATCTTGAGTGTTGGTCTCAGGTGGATCCAGGTGAACTCACTCTGAACCGGGATCAGTGGAGTCCGGATCAGACGGGTTCAGTTCAGTGGACTCAGACTGATTCTGTAGATCTGAACATTTTCCTCTCACTGTCTTTCTTGTCTGTTTTTCTTCCTTCTGTCTTCAGCCACTCAACTCTCTGCAGGTGTGGGCAGGTAAAGCCCCACCTCCTCTGCCTGCAACTGGAACTCTGGGTAATGAAGTGAGGAGCAGCTGAAGCTCTGCTGCCCCCTGGTGTGAGACACAGGATCACAGCAGGTTTTTACTTTTAAAACACCTGTTCATAAAAACTTTACTTCACGTGTCAGAATTATGTTTTCATGTTGTTTTAAAGTAAAAACTTTATTAAAATATAAATGTACAGATGTTACTCAGATACACAAGAACTGATGGGGTGTGTGTGTGTGTGTGTGGGGGGGCTGTGGAAACTGACTTCCTATTTGAGAACACCTTTATTCACGTCAGTTCAGTTTGTGCAGTTTGATGAACCTGAAGATAAATTTAGTTTGAAATGTCTGTGACCTTTGACCTCTGTTCAAAGTGAAATGTGACAGCACCTCGGACTGTAAACAACAACAACTACGTCTGAGTTTCTTTACGTCTCTTTAAAACTTCAGTGAAATATTTTCTGTCTGGTGAAGAAGAGTTACTCCTCTTCATCGCTTCTTCAGGATGAAGAGCTGATCCTGAGTTTAACAGACAAAAAAACGACAGACTGGAACACCCAGATCCACCTGATCGATCAGATCCACCTGATCCATCAGATCCATCAAAGACTCTGTCAGAACAAAGACGTGTTTCAGGTCAGATTCAGATTCAGAACCTGTTACTGTTGAGGAGTTCAGAGTGCATGATGGGAGTTTGAGTGACACACCTGTTTCCTGTTTCACCTGTCACCTGAGGAGTCTGACTCCTCCCTCAGTGTGAAGGTCAGTCTGAGTCACAGCCATGTTTATCATTAACTCAGGTCTGTGTGTGAAACGATCCAACTGGTTTTAAGCTTCAGTAACTTCCTGTACACTCACTGCAGGTCACCTCACCTGGTGTCAGGTGGCTCCGGTCCTGGTCTCAGGTTCAGTCTGAGGATGCTGAAAGCTTTAAACTCACTTCTCCTCACACTCAGAAACACTGAATCCTGATCCAGATCTCCTCAGATCCAGACCTGGAAGCTAAAAAACATTTTCCTGCCACAAAACCTTTATTTCTTCAGACCTTCTCTCATCTTCTTCTGTCACTGATTCTCTGAACGGCAGTTTGACTGAACCACGCCCACCGTCCTCCGCACGCATGACTTATTATTATTTAGTCTGTAAGAAAAAGGTTTAGAATAAATGATCACTGTCCAGCTCGAGGTGACGTCCCCTCACACCTGACAGGCCACAAACAATCAGACGATTCACCTGTTGATTCACCTGTTGATGACTCCACTGATCGTTGCAGCTCTGCTATTGGCTGACAGGTTGTAAATGAAGTCTGAGGTGAAACTGAAGGAGGTGTTTGATGGAATGAGGCTGACTGCAGCTGCAGGTCGACACTGTTTGTTTTAATGGGATTTAACAGGTTTACACAATCTGCAGTTAAAGGGCTAAAACATGAAAAATAGCGGCATGGTCCTTTAAAGAGTCCGTGTGGTTTTTGTTCCTCCGTCAGATTCAGACCGGCTGCGGTTCACTTCCTGCTGCTCGGTGGCGCCGCGGCAGCAGTCTGAAGACCGACAGTCCTTCTACCTGTAAAAACTGTCCACCTGCTGAGTGTTCACATTTAAATCTAAAACTGGGCTGCTCTCTGATTGGTTACGAGTCCGACCAATGAGGGACATCTGCCCAAATATGGAAAAAGAAGAATAGGAGGAGGAAGAGGAAGAGGAGGAAGAGCGCTGAAACCAAACGATTCTTCAAAACAGAAAAGACGAACAACAAAAAGATTCAACTGACAGAGAAGAAGAAAGTGGAATAAGAATAAAATAAAGACGACGAACAGAGGGAGGCTCATGGTCTCTGCAGTCGAGTTATAAAACCTGGAGGTTCATCAGTCTGTAGACAGTCTGCATTTGTTCTGCTGCTCTCACACACACACACACACACACACACACACACACACACACACACACACACACACACACACACACACACACACACACACACACACACACACACTACACACCACCCACACAAACACACCAACACACACACAGGGCTGGTCACATGATGCCGTTGGTGAGGTACTGGAAGCCGTCGTACAGTTTGGTAGTGAGTGATCTCATTGATCCGTCCACCAGCTGATCGATCAGCAGCTGCAGCTGCTCCTCCGTCAGACTCATGTGGAACCGCTCCTTCAGACCTCGCATGGTGCTGGAGCCGTGGAAACAGGGCAGCTGAGAACCTGGGGGGGGGTCAGGACAGTCATGTAGAAAGCAGACAGTGTTGTCAGGAGAGTGTGTGTGTGTGTGTGTGTGTGTGTGTGTGTGTGTGTGTGTGTGTGTGTGTGTGTGTGTACCTTGTTGCATGATCTCCACTATCTGCAGCACCCGGTCCATGTGTTTCCTGGCTGCTATCAGACCCTGAAGCATCAGCATCTTGTAGTAGTTAAACATGTCTCCGTCTGGACCCCCCATCACCTCAAAGAGACAAAGACACAGTTCTTCTAAAGAGACACTTCCTCTGAGTTCCAGTAAATATGTTTCACACTAACACCAACATCCAGAGAAGAAGACACAGTCGTCTGTAGCTGCGTCACAATAAACTGTCATACAACCATGTTAACCTGCACGGTGAGAAGGCTACTGCTGCTAGCTCTGCTAACGTTAGCCACGCTCAGCAAACCAACATGACAGCGTTCACCTGCAGACACTGTGATCCTGATTAAACCGAGCTCAGTTCTGACCAACAGGAAGATGTTGTTGGGAACATCTCGCGTGCTAACGTGAAGTTAAAGCTAATAACCAGCGACCACAAGAAACTCACATCTACGAACTCTGTGGTGAGTTTGAAGGCGGACGTTTCAAAGCCGAGGTTTTTGGGTGAGCTGGAGAGGATGAAGCCGAAGTCGATGTGGATGATGTGACCTTCAGCGTCCAATAGGATGTTCCCGTTGTGTCTGAGAGGACAGAGGAGGAGGGGTCACAACGTTAGAAGGCATTCATTAGGTTAAAAACACCATTACAGACACTGAAAACCTGCTGGGAGGAACAGGTGACCTCACCTGTCTTTGACCTGCAGCAGGTAGCAGATGAGGCTGTATCCGGCGCAGCTCTGGACGAAGTTCCTCTGAGCAGACAGGAAGGCCTCGGTGGTCGGCGCTCCGTGTTCCTGCAGGAAGTAGTCGAGCAGAGACAGCTGGCTCTGCTTCTTCACCTGATGGAGCGACACAGCGTTGACCACGGGCTCGATCATCCCGCTGTCCGACGACAACACCAGGATCTTATAGGGCTTAATCCAGAGTGGGACACGCTCCTGCTCCCAGATAGACTGCAGGGGGGTGGGGGGTGTAGGGTGGGGCAGGTGAGTCAGTGGTCGTCATTGCGTTTCGATCATGTGATTTTATGATGTCACAGCCTTACCTTGAGCTGCTGTAGCACCTGGAAGGCGAGCAGCTCCTGTCTCAGGTCGTCTCCACATTTAACAATGACGGACAGAAGTCTCCAGTTAGGAAGGTGACCGTAAGGAGATCCTTCTCTGATCCTCCTACAGGAAACACAGACTAGTCAGACCGACAGGTAAACAACATGGAGGGTGTTTATCACCCACAGAAACATTTAGGAACATGAGGTCTGTGGTGTGTTCCAGGTCAATGGGAATTATCAGTGGATTCTTCATCACAGACGCTCAGATTTTCATGCTGAGGAAGTGTCCCTGAAGGCAGCATCACCTACCGGACCTTCTCCTCCCAGGGCTCCTTCAGGGCCACGGCCGATGGGTCCTCGGGGTCCCGTTTAAAGGTGGTGGGGGCCTGAGCCAGCTGCTCTGACAGACGACGCCTGAAACATGAGACACAAATACAGAAAACACACATTAACACACACACACACACACACACACACACACACACACACACACACAGTATATGTACAGACCTGATGTCTCCGGCAGCGATGAACACAGGCTCTTTACTCTCCAGGCTGGTGATGCTGTCCACTGAGAACTGGCTGATGTTGTCACAGCTGTTGGTGTGGATCTCTGGGAGCTGGAGGAGGGACAGAGGGACAGACTCAGCATCTACCAGCCTGTATGTGTGACACTATGAGTCGTGTGTTACTGCATCTCATGTGACACTGTCATCTGAAACCTGAACAGCTGATGTGTGATCTGTGCTGACGTCCTCTTCATGTTCGGTCTGTCTCGTGTCTTAATGCGTCTCAGCTGATGTTTTTAACTGTTGATCGATGTTTCCTCCTCGACTCTGTGGAAACTCATTCCAGGTGATTCCTGACTCTGCTCTGAACATCAGCTGTTTCACCTCCACTGACCCTGACTCCACCTACAACCTGTTTAACGTAAACTGAGAACGCTGACATCACGTCGTGTCTGAGCACACCTGGGCGTCGTCTCACCTCCACCTGCAGCTCTCCGATGTCGTCCACAGACCACGCCTCGTCGTCGTTGTCGTAGTTGGGGACCATGGAGAAGCTGCCGGCCCTCTGCTCCGGCGTCATGCCGCAGTCCGGCAGGTTCTCCACAGAACGCGTGCTCCTGATCCGGTTCTCTGGGATCCGGATCGGAACGCTGGACGTCTCAAAGTTCTCGCACTCCAGAACCTCCACGTAGATCAGGTACGGAGCCTGAGGGGTCACAGAGGAGGTGGAGACAGTGAACAGCTGATCAAACCCTGGTCGTCTGTCTGGGAGGTTGTGTTAATGCACACAAGGGTTAAATACACATCCCTTCTTCATATTGTAAAATAGTTCTGGGAAATTCTAATGTTGAGAAAAGAAGGCTTCTTGGTCATGCTGTTCACTTCTACTTCTCTGTGACAGAACGACTGTGTTTCTGTAACTGGTGAAATGTTCTCAACTATCCACTAAAAGAATCGCAAAAAAAAAAAAACCTTCTTCACTCTGACACTGATGATTTAAACGCGTCTCATTAACACTGATCATGGTGGAGACCTGACATGTTCCTCTGTCCCTTATTTTAACATTTCAGAATCTTCTTTATTCAAACTCAACAAACAAAAACGTTCAATACTTCTTAGACGTAACTCTGTTTTTACCACTAAGACTTAACTTCAGATTAAAGGATGTTTCAACCATCGCAGTTTCTGGACTGACGGTTCAGGGACGAGGCGCTCGGTCCTCACAGGTTGGGAAAGACGAATGCATGTGTGTGTGTGTGTGTGTGTCTCTCACCTTGTCTTTGGAGTTTAACACCACGGCCTGTGTGTGCGGCACTCGGACCACGTGGTGGTCGAAGGCGGCGGTGGGCAGCCAGACTCGAGCCGGCAGTTTGTGGTTGAGCAGCGACAGCTCCGAGATCAGCCGCTGCGTCTTCTGCTCTTTGGTCGGCAGCGTCGCCAAACGCTTCCCGATCCCCATCAGAGACTTTATGAACTCCCTCTGAGGAGCGAGCCGTACCGGCTGGAGGTGGGAGGGGGGGTAGAGAGAGAGAGAAGGGGGGTTAGTCTCTGCTGGTGTCATCTGGGACAGAGACACCTGAACAGGTGAAGGTCGATGTTTGTGTGTCAGGTTTGTACACTGATACGTTTCCCTCCACAGCCAATAAAAATCAACCTGCAGTTTTCAGTTTGTCCCCAGTCTCTAAGGCAGAGACACAGAAGAAGAACAAAAGAAGAAGAAGAAAGACGCTGTAACAATTAGCAACAATTATTCTGATTGGTTGGTTTGTAGTCAGGGTTTTGATGCTGCCTGTGTTTGTGGACATGTGACCTTTGACCTGGGACAGACAGACGTTTACATGTTTTATCTGAGCGGTGAAGTCTGAGGACCAACTGCAGCATCAAACCCGACACACACACACACACACACACACACACACACACACACACACCACACACCACACACCACACACACCACACACCACACACCACACACCACACACACACACAGAGTCAATCAGAGTCAATCAGAGGAGACTGTTCACAGATCAGTTTGTGTCCTCACTGATTCACCCATAACCTCCAGACAGCTGATTGGATCCAACACAAGAACTGAGAATTACAGGGTGACGTTCAGTCACAGGGACGTCACCTCACACTCAACCAGAACCAGACCTACAACCAGAACCCACAGACTTCATTTCCCACAATGCACCCCGGAGGGAGGAAGCTGGTGAACTTACGGGACCAGTCTCAAACTCCAGACTGTCCAAGCTGGAGCTGCTGTCCTGGAGGTCAGAGGTCAGGGGTTAAAACAGCGGGGGGGTTAGAGTGACGTGGATCAGACTCACATGGAGAAATAAGATCAGTTTGATTCAAGTCTGTTCATTTGTGTTAATAACAAAAACTAAATAAATTCTCAAGAGTTCTGATTTCTCCTAGTGCCTGTGAACCCACCACAGAGACCACATTAAACTTAATGACACTGAGTTGTTATACACTGAAGGTTCTTAAACTAATGATTTCTAGTATTAGAAGTTAATAACTTTCATACAAATAAAAAGGTGTGACTGAGTCATTTATCTCAAATTTTCCACCTTTTAAAAACTATTTAGGAAACAACTGATTATTAATTATCTCTCCGCTTGTGTCTGTGTGAGGTGATAAAATCCCTCTGAGCAGCTGACTCTAAATACCTGAGGCAACGACATGCAGCAGAGGTCCCAGCTGTTTATTCAACCTCACGACTCTTTTATTATCTACCATCAAAATAACTGCATCAGAAACACTTGACTTCTGGACTCCGGAACCAGAACCTGAGTCCAGCACACAAACATCCTGGTCCTGGTTGTGTTACCTCGTCCTGACTGCTCTCCACCTTCGGGTTACTGGCTGTTCTCTTCAGGTTGCTGCTCAGGCTGATGCTGACTGTGGCGTCTGATTTGGAGCGCTGATGTGTTCGTTTGGAGGGCGACAGGCCGTGGTCTCCTCCCAGGGGCCCGGGGCCAGCGGTGGGGGACGTAATGGGACAGAAAGGCGTCAGAGTCAGGGGGTCCCTGCGAGCTCGCGGCCCTGCAGGTTTGAGTTCATCAGACAGGATGAGTTTCCTCAGTTTGGTTCCTCGAGAGTGACGCTGCGTGGAGATGTGCATGTCAGAGGAGTAAGCTCCCAGCAGCCAAGCACACGTCAGACTGAAGGAGATGCTCTGTCTGCAGCGGTGAACCTGCAGACGACACACAGGGTTAAATAACAAAGATATTAAAGGAGTCTGAATGAACACATTGGAAGCTGGACTCATGTTGGATAACATGAGGTTAAGCCCTGCCCCCGTGTCCGGGCCACACCCACCACGTATGGCTTGATGGCGTCCCCGACGTCCTCGTCCATGTGGATGTACATGTTGAGGAGCTGGGGCAGGTAGAAGTCCACCTCCTCGTGGGGGAAGCTGAAGAGCCGGTTCCCGATGTAGGCCTGGACCCCAGGCTCCTTGGAGTTGTGCAGGTAGGAGATCGCCATGGAAACGTCAAACAGCTTAGACTCAAATAGGCGGAGCAGCCACGACTGTTTGGAGGGATTGTGTCTCTGCCGCCGCCGTGCGCTCTTCACCGAGCCAGGCGCCGGGCCCTCGGGGTCGACATGCTCCTCACGGATCTTCATTGGTTTCACAGTCAGAGCTGCGGGGGGTGTGGGGGGTACGGAGGGTGCGGGGGGGTCAGGCTCCGCTCCGTTCTGTTCGTCAGGGACATCACCCTCCACCTGCTGCAGCTTCACCTTCTGCAGCACCTCCTGACACGCCCGTTGAGCCACCTCCGCATCGATCACCAGGCTGAGCTCCGCCACTCCCTCACTGATCACACCCAGAGGGGGGGTGACCGCCTGGGGGGGGCCACAGGACGAGGAGGGGGTGGAGGGGAGGGACAGGGAGGGGGAGGAGGAGATGGATAGGGAGGGGGAAGGGCTGTTCTGATCAGAGGGGGCGGGGGAAAGCTCCAGCTCTGTGTCCTCCATCATGGCCGCTGGGAAGCTCCGCCCCTCCTCCACTGAAACACACACACAAAAAAAAGGTCAAAGGTCAGGTGGGTTGGGGGGGGGGGTTAATGTGATTCAGGTAATTAAAAACTGATGATATTTTTGTGATCAAACTGTTGAATGACATCATTGATGTGATCAGCTGATCACTGCAGATGACTGCCCAGTCATCAGTGATGATATTAGTAACATCTAATGTGATGAGTGTGATGTTTAGAGACAGTGAAGCTCCGCAGAGAAACACTGACAGCAGCTGTTTATCATCTGTGTGTGTGTGTGTGTGTGTGTGTGTGTCTGATGTGTGTCAGGCTGTAATCTCACTCAGCAGATTACAATCCCCCAATGGGGGAGTGGGGGGGTGGGGCAGACTGTCTGGGTCACTATGTTTGATGATCACATGATTCAGACATTGATGGACAGTCAAACATCTCAGTTCATCTTCAACAACTGTAGAGTCTATGAGAATCTGAACGGGTTAACCTGGAGTTAACTAGTCCACTAACTGTTTACACATTAATTGCCTTTTGTCTAAGACCCGTTTAGCTATATCACCATCACATAAGTGTATTTTTTAATTATATTAAGTATAATTCCTCCCCATGACCATAGTTTGAATCAACCAGCACCAGGACCAGGACCAGGACCAGTAGTTTTGACTGGACTGTCATACTGACACACATCTTTACAGGGTTTGTATCTCTCTATCCTCTTCATCCCACATTCCTTCATTATTCTGTCTTTATCTTATTAACCCCTCAGGTGCTGAACACTGTGCAGTCTACAACAGAGCTGCTGTCACACTGTTTACTGTGGCTGATACTTACACTTTAAATCTGTACATAATCTGACATATTCTATTATTCTTCACGTCACTGATGATTGATGAGTGTTTTACTGTAACTGTCCTTCCTCCTCAGAGATTCACTTATCTATTGATCTAAAACATAACATCAGAGTAAATGATTGATCCATTATTTGTCTCCATAAACGTGAAACAAAAATCTGCTGAGACTCAGAACATTGATAAAGTTTCAGATTTAATTTCCCTCATTGATAATCATCTGATCTTCTACTGGTTTCTTTCAGTCTGGACTCGTGTTGTTTTGATCCGAGTCCGTGAACGCGTCTCAGTCTGTGTCGGTGTTGATCCACCAGAGTCCAGAACAAAACCTTAAAAGTTTAAATCCTCTAGTCGGTGAGCTTAGCCTACCGTTAGCTTAGCACAAGGCTAACTCAAACAGGAGAAATTAAACTTTTCAACAGCTCCGGTACAGCCGTTAGCATCTTACCGACAGCTAACCGACAGCTGCGGTGTTGACGTCGGCTCACTCAGGTTGTTAGTTGTCGAGCTGCTGGTTAAGACGCAGTTACCGTTAACCCGTTAACTAAACATTAGCACCGTTAGCTTCCAACACAAACTGAACACACACCAGCTGACTAGCTACATGCTAAAGCAACGGTCCGCTGCTGTTTTTAACACGAATACTGTTAGCATTAGCATTACCCGACATGTATCAGGCCAACTGTTGCTAAGTCCGCTCAGCTGTTTCCAAAGCTTTATGCTAAGCTAACGCTGTGTCCGGCACATTAACCGGTCAGCTTTTCAGGTACAGTGTCGTGTCACAGAGTGTCCAGGTGAGTCGGTTTTACCTGGTGACGGTTTAGTGGCTCTGAAGAGATGTTTTATGTCCAGTTCTTCTCCATTGATTCTCTCTCCTCATCTCAGCCGCTGCTAACAGACAGCAGGGGGCGGCTTTCCTTTCTTCTTCTGCCGCTGCTTCCGGTTTGACTCAGTTGTTTTTACCGCCACCTGCTGCACCGGAGAGGTATCGCTGTGCCGTCGCCATATTGGAGCGGTTCATGCAGACAGTGTAGTTTAAATTCATCCAGTAAAACCACAACAATCATGCACTGAAGAGTTTAAGCATGGCGCCAAATCACACCTGGACATCACAGACTGACGTCACAGACTCAGTCAGGACTGAACCAAACACCTGCTGAGTCTGTCACTGGAAACAAAAGAGACTAAATAATAAGAAATTATTATTAAATCAGACACTGAACTTTATTGAAACATCGTGTGTTTACAGTTTGAACAGCAGGAGGCGCTGCAGGAAACAGAAGTGACCAGGTGACACCAGGTGAGGTCAAAAAGGTGAGTTTAATTTCACTGACACAGAAAACAAAGCTGACGTGAAGGAGAAAGTCTCATGAATATTCACCTGCTGTAATATATGACACTGAATATTAATGAGTCCCTACAGAACATGATTATGTCAAAGTTTCCTGGTTACAAACTGTGAATCCAGTCATCAGGTGAATCCAGGATCAAACAGCTGATCTTGGGAATAATCAGAGTTCACTTACAGTATTGATCAGTGTGATCTGACCAATACAATCAATACAATCTTTTTGTTTATTTGTCTAAAGAATATTTCATGATTGTTTAATGTAAAATATTTTTTATTTCTTGGGTTTAAATTTGACTGAAGTGTCATTAAAGTTTTGCTGGAAATTAATTTTGATTTATTTACTTTCTCCTTTTCTTTATCTCATTATTATTATTATTATTATTATTGTTATTATTATGTGAAATGTTGATATTAGATGTTTTTATAATCTGTTTTTTAAATTTTTTTTATTTCACCAGCACACACTCCTACCGTTGCATTATGGGTGATTTTTGTCTTATTTCTGCGATTAATTAAACTGCAAGATTGTTATTGTTGCTGCTCTTGTTATCATTCTTTAGTGATTGTAATATTTGTTAATTGTTGTTTATTGTACTTTAATACCTGTCAGATGTTAAAGCGTCTGTTTGTACTTTTACATGTGACCATTAAGTTTTGTTGTTACATTGAAAAGTCAAATTAAAGTTGATTTGATGATTTATTTCACAGAAATGAGAAAATGAACTTTTACTGTGAAGTGACGTCTGGACTGTTCATTAAGGCTCAGAGTTAAAAACAAACGATTCCTATTAGTAAAAATATTTTTTCATAGTTTTTTCTTGATGGGACCATTAAAGAGAAAAACCTCTCCCTGTGTTAACGGAGTTATTAATATCCTGTCTGATCCAGTTACACCCAGATATCAGACGTACAGTCTCCTCCCGGGTATCTCAGCTCGTGGGCCAGAACCGGACCGTCGGGTTCCTTACCGAAATCCACCAGGAAGTTCTTGTTCAGGGACAGACCTCCGCTGACAGAGTTCACATCGATCTGCATCATCACCGACCCCTCCCTGAACAGAGAGGAGAGAGGATGAAGCTCGTCACAAGGGTCGCCATGTGGCCAAAAGTATGTGGACACAAACATTACAGTATCTAATGAGACAGTGTCCATCCATGAAACTGAGCCCTCAACTTTTTACCTTAAACCATTTAGTACTGTTGTGATGTCATCAAGGTGTTTTTAATGGAATGTTATTGGGCTACTTAAGCAATAAATTAATGAACATTAAGATGTATTATTGAGCAGTACTGCAGTAGTACTGCAGTAGTGTTACAGTAGTACTGCAGTATATTACAGTAGTACTGCAGCAGTGTCAGTACTGTACGTACTTGACCATGTCAGGGTAGAACTGTTTGTCCCAGCTGCTGAACAGAGACGTCGTCAGATAAAGTCTCCGACCGTCCAAACTCAACTGCAACATCTGAGGACCTCCATAGACACGCCTCCCCTGAGAAACAGACAGGTGAGAGACAGACGGGTGAGAGACAGACAGGTGAGACACAGACGGGTGAGAGACAGACAGGTGAGAGACAGACGGGTGAGAGACAGACAGGTGAGAGACGGACGGGTGGACAGGGACAATCAATCAGAAAGATGAATGAATAAATGATAAACCCCAGTAGAGGACATTAGACAGGGTGTTGGACAGACAGACAGGTCCAACCTCACCTGTCTCTCTGCTTCCTGTCTGTGTTACCTTGATGATGCGTGGGGGGGGCTGTGGCTGGTTCTCAGGGTCCTCCAGGACTTTGACTGGTCCATCACTGACGATACTTCCTCCCAGAAACACCTGGAACAGACAGACAGGTGAGTCAGCTGTCTCACTCTGAGGATTTTACCTGTTCACCTTCATCACTGGACAGGTTTTACATCATCACACCTGGCCGACCAAACGGGGCTTCTTCCTGTCTGTGATGTCATACTGTCTGACGTCCCCGTGCAGCCAATTACTGAAGTAGAGGAAACGGTCGTCCAGTGATATCAGGATGTCTGTGATCAGTCCTGCAAAGACAGACAGGTGACAGGTAACAGGTCAGACAGGTGACAGGTCAGACAGACAGGGAACAGGTCAGACAGACAGGTAACAGGTGAGACAGACTCACCTGGCATCTCAGGCAGCATCCATCCCTCCACCTTCTTACTGGGAACACTGATCACCTTCTCTGCAGCCCAGTCACCTTTCTGATCAAAAACAAAACCAGGCACATGGATCAGACCGGACCTGGACTTAGACTTGGCTGCAGCCCATTCTCTGGAGCTGGTTCTGGAACTGTTCATGTATCACAGTGTTTTAACAGGGTTCTACTGTGATCGTCGGTTCAGGTGAATCAGGGTTAAATCTGCTTAAAACCTGATGGGGACCAGAACCTAGAACCCTAAGGTTCTGACTGGAGTCTCACTGCGATCTACAATCCTGTGGTACTAACCGGTGTTTTGTAGAACCTGAAGACAGTTGAGGGCAGAGCACAGCCCACGTAGCCCTCGGTGGCGTCGGGGTCGTGGAGGAACCGGACCTCCAGAGGAATAGCTCCCTCTTCACCCAGGTCGAGCGTCTGCAGCCTCCTGTGGGTGGTCCAGTCCCAAACATGGAGGGCGCTGCCGTAGTGACCTGGGACGCCAAGAATGATGAGAAGGTTCTGTCATTTCTAGAGCTGAGAGGAAACATCTTCATCCCTGTATCACTGACCAGAACCAGACCACCACCAGAACCTAGAACCCTGTGTCACTCACAGGAGACTGATTGACTGACTGAATGTTGATGATGATGATGATGATGATGATGATGATGATGATGATGATGATGATGATGATGATGATGATGATTAGCTGTTATATGAAGGTTATTGAGCATTTTATGACTAAAGTATGAAACTTTCTCCATGTTTCTATAAACCAGGAAGTTTATTTTCAGACGTGGAGACATGTGACCTCTGGGACAGGGCGGAGCCTCCTGGAGTAACGAGTGTGGTGCAAACAAAACTACCATGTTAGCTTCTGATTAGAGTGTTTCGCTAATGTGCTAGCTAGTCATGTGATTCAGTAGAACAAACAGCAGAAGATGTCAATGTTTCTAACAAGCTATAGCTGCGTTAACACCTGGAAGTTTTCTCTAAGAAAAATTATGTTGTTACACGGTCTTTGCAGCAAATAAGCTTCTTTATCAGAACAAAGATACACATGTTTATAACGGAGGAAATGGGGTAAAAACTGGACCTCTCAATGTCACCAGAGGTCAGAGGCAAATTGCCTCCATGTCTGAAATAAAACCTTGGGGTGTGTAGATGAAATGCTGAAACTGTCATGCTTTAGTCATAAAATAAACAACTGGTTTGTCTCTCTGCACCACTGTCCTAATGGAATAGGAACTTTAAGTCCTGGGTCCTATCTGGAGTCCTGGATATAGAACCCAGTCTGGAGGATTACTGAAACATGAACCTTGAACCCTCACAGGAGACTTGGCCCTGATGTACTGAAGGAGTCTTAGTGGAGTCGGACCCTTGAACCTTGCAGTACTGTAAAGACTTACTGGGATCAGAGTCTGGAACCTTGAGTGTTACTGGGTTCAGAACCAATCAGCCTTGTGTTACTGACCAGAGACCAACAGGGAACTAGAACCTCAAGTACTGACTGGAGTCTAAAGGGAACCTAAAATCCTGTGGTGCTGATTGTAGTGAGGATCCTTACAGAACTCCGGATCAGGACCGATGATCCGGAATGTCAGGGATGACGGCGCCTGGATGACATGTCTGTGACATCACAGCTAAAGGAGACGGAGGTTTTCCTCCTGACTCACCCTCCATGACGTGGGCTGGATTAAAACCGTCAGCCAGAGCTTTTGGCGCCCCCCATTCAGTGCTGATCATCACGTTGTGCCGAGGTTGGTACCAGAAGTCATACCCAAAGGGCACCGCGTCGCCGGTGTGCTCCCAGTTACCGACCACCTCGAACGTCTCACCGTCCAGCAGAATGAAACCACCTGAGAGGACGACAGCAGGTGTAACACTGAGACTGTCCACTAGAGGTCGCCACGACAACAATCAACAGAGGTTTGTGGTTCAGAGCTGGTTCCTTTCACTCCTTTACTGTGAGGTGTTTAAGCTCAGCTTCCTGTCTACATGAGGAGGATTTAGGAGCCAGTCCGCCGGAGGTCTCACCTTTGCCGTTACCAGACGGGTCTCCCAAACAGCTGATCATGATCTGACCGTTGCCCAGACAGTGAGAAGTGTGAGGGTTCGCCAGGTTACACTTCCAGTACAGATCCACAGGTTCGACCATCTGAAGACAACAAACCACAACATGAACACAACTGGAACGTTTCATTTCCACCACGGAAAACAGAGAACTTTTCAAAACAAAAGACACAAACTGCTTCACAATAAAAGCATCCAAGCTAGAACCCTGTGGTACTGACTGGACACTGACTTGGATCAGAACCTAAGACCCCGCTTTACTGACTTGAGTCTTTTTAAGTCTTTATTTTGGGGCAGCAGTTTAAATTACATATCACACAACAGGGAGTGATACTTTACTTTCCTCTGCCGTACACAGTTTTTCAAAATGTAAGAACTTTGTGG